TCTCTGATTCGGCAGGAACTAGGGCCCTGGGTGGGGGGCGCTCTGATTGGGCAGGAACGCGGAGAACTTCTGCCATCAGGGCCCACCAGTGGGGAGAAGGCCGATGTCCACACCCTCCCAATCACAGACCAGCCATATGTAGTAAGAAGACCGCATCGAGGACAGCAGACTTTTAAGCAAGTCTCAACTTTCTGAAATATCACACACTAAAATAATAAACACCCCAACTGTTCAAATTCTAAATACATGATGATCACCTAAGCTGCTGCAGTATCTTGAAAACAGAGAAAAAAAACTCAACACTAAAACTTCCCCCCAAAAACATTTACTTCAACTTAAAATACCTTCCTAAAAGTTTCTACCAAGCTCCTGGTACCATGTAAGAAACAAACAGCTCCAAAATTTAAGGTACTGTTGGATACGGCGCCAATGTTCCAACTTACGGGGTTGGACAGGGAGTGGCCAGAAAAAAGCTTAACACTGACAGAACTCAGTGTTTGAACAATCCAGCCAAACTTTCTAATGACAATCAAACCAAAACAAAGAGCAAGGTGCACCGGCTAAGACGCCACACCTTCCTCCAGAGGACATCTGTTCACGCGTCTTGTGGGACAGCGGGGTCTGCAATGCGAGTTCGGACAGACCACTGACCGACTGACGGCCAGGGTGTGCCGGGTGCCCCAGGACACCGAAGGAGGGAAGGGCGTCCCTCCCGACTTCCAACCCGAGAGTCTGGAAGCAAAACCGTCACCCTCACAGCCTCCTGCTCAGGCAGGCGGGGCGAACCGGGAGACACAGGCCAGACTCAGGGCTCCGTGATTCGATCGATGTTTGCTGTCCCAGCCCCTCGGTCCCGAAACTGATCATTCTTTTTCCAACCAGCCTGTGGATAAATGCACCTGGCAAATTTCTTTCGAGCAGCATTTTTTCAAACAGAGTCTCCAAATCTAAGATTTCCAAATCACAATTTGATTTCCAACTTTAAAAAAAAAAAATCCCCATCCTGATCAATTCCAAAGGCTTGCCTCCTCAATGTTAGAGGCTCTGTCAAGGAGTGACTATAGATTAAAATCTACTTATGAAATAACCAGATGCAATAAATGACCCTGAGCTAGACCGTGCTTCAGACAAAGCTGCTGTTGTATGTAGGGCCCACTGAGTAAAAAATCTATATCCCAGTGACAGATGAGATGAAAATTTAGGAAGCCAGCTGATGGGGGGGCGGGGGGAATGCCTTACAAAACTGTACAGTATAATTTCATTTCAATTAAAACAGGTACACATACGCATAGACAATTATCTGGAAAGTGAAAAATCGGTGATCTCTGGGTGGTAGGAATGCATTGTATCTGCTTCTCCATATCTCCTAAGCTTCAACAATGTACATGTAACACTACTTCTGTAATAATACTTTAAGCCACCAAGGGCTCCTTAAAGTCAAACATCAGTATTTATGAAGTGCCTGCTACAGGTGAGACACATGGAGATCCGCTTTCATTCTCCCCGAGTCCCCCCAGTTTTTTCAGTTAATCCTCCCCAAGCCGCTTGGGCCAAGCAACAGTGGTTTTCAAATATAACATTTCCTTCAACTCCAAAGAGTTTCTCTCTCTCTCTCTGTTCTCTCAGGCACACTAGTAATTTTTCAGTTTTCCCTTTATGGCTACTCTTTCAACCTTGGTACCTAATATAAAACCAAAACACTCATTTGTAGGCTGAAAGTTTGTGACAGAGGGGAACTACTACGGTGGGGGACGGGATCCTTTTCAATGAACTAGCCAGCTTTCCCGAAGTTATAATCTGTGGCAACACACCCAGTTTTCCTTGCTAGAAAGCAGTGTATGATCTTTAGATGGAAAAAAGGTCAAGTTCAACTTGTAGGGCGGGCAACACCCTTTATCCCTGGCTAGTGAACACATGGAGACATGGGGAAATCTAGCAGAGCTGAAAACTGTTATGTGTTCTCCAGGTGGAAATGAAAATGACAGATCACATACGCACATTAAAAATTTAAGGAAGAAAGCAAATCAGAAAGTCATCTGAGTTGAACGTGAGGCTGAAACATTTGGGACAGAAGGGCAGCAACAATTCTGGGTTGCAGTTATCTGGCAGAAAGGGTCACCCACAAGAATGCCCCAGGCGTGTCCCCAGCACATGCTGCCCAGTCTGCAAAGACAAGTTATTGCACCGAATGTGTTAGGTGCAGTTACACTGAAGGCTTCCTTTCTTAACCAAAAGTGACTGAATATCGATTAGTTGTGATTTGATCAAAATGCAACTTCCTGTCGTCATCTCTAACCCTTGGTGGATCACTACCTAAATCAAATCAGCTTTCACAGAAATAATTGTCTTTGAATCTTAAAACTAGTTCATTAACTTTGAAAGATACTAGCCTTGAGCTACAAGTAACTAGAGAGCTAGCCTTTCACAGCGGGTTTTCTAAAAAGGAAAAATAGATCACCTCGTAAAAAACCACCTCTGGGAAGGCAGCCCCCAAGCATTCCCATTAATGGAAACCTCAGATTCTCTGCCACTTTCCTGAAAACGTAGCTGTGTTAAGTCATTCAACTGTAGGCATCACTTTACAAAAAGAAATTTTGAATTCCCTCCTGGCTGGGGCAAAGGGAGGGCGGCAGACCATAGCCCCCACCGAGGCGTGATGCAGCGCCCGCCTCCCGGTTACTAGAAAGCCACAGCCGCTTTTAAACGGTCTCCGGGTGACGGTGCATTCCTAACGGGTTTCGAAGACACGTTTAAATCGCCCGCTTTTTTGTCTGCTCGCTGCCTTCACCGAGCCCCGGTACTGCGGCCGCCCCCATGCGCCCGGGAGGGGAGCCGGGAGAAGAGAGCCGGGCGGAGGGGCCTGGGGTGGGAATGGGAGCCCGCGCGGGAGGGGGAGCCGGCGCGTGGGGCTGGGGGCGACTCAGGGTGGAGGTTCGGCCCCCGCCCTGCACCGGGAGCTCCCCGTGCTGCGCCCGCCCGGAGGGGTGCGCGTAGGGCCGCGGCGCCCCTCCTCCCGCCCTCCCTCTCCGTCGCCCTCCCGAAGCAACAGAAACAACAGCGGCGGAGGAGGGGAAAGTAACTCCCAGCACCTTCGCCGGAATTAGCCCGGGTGCAGTGATGACACCTTCTCGTGGTGCAACCGAGCGCCGCTCGCTCCGCAGCGGCGGTGTGCCCGCCGCCGCCCCCCATTCGAAAGTGGCCACCCCCACGCCGCGGCCGCCCGCCGCTCCCGCCCCGCCGCCGCCAGCTGCACCAATCCGCTCGGCCCCAGTGGCAAATCAAACGCTCCCTCGCGTCCAGAAGCCACTTGCGCCGCTGGAAACGGCTGCGCCGGCCCCCTCCCCGAGTTCCTCCGGGCGGCACCCCAGGGCTGGGGCGGGCGCTCGGCGAGAACGCCTGCGAGGTGGGAGCGGCGGCGAGCAGCCCCGAGCGGGCTCGGCTCCTGCTCCCGCTCCCGCCCCCAGACAGTTCTGGAAACTGTGGATCACCTCTGTCACAGGAAGCCATCCGGCGAGGAAGGCGGCGCGGAACCAACAAACAAACGCCTGCGGCCGCCCGCCGGAATCGGCGCGGGGACAGCGGCGGGCTGCGGGCCGTTCCCCAGGCGGGGGTGCGGCGGTCGCCCCCGCGGCGTGGGCTTTGTGCGGGGCTCCGGTGGCGCGGGCGCGGCGGGCAGGGCGTCCCCGCCTCCAGAGCCCCCCACCCTGGCCTCCGCAGCGATGCTGGGACCGTTAGGTGACGCTCCGACCGCGGCCGAGAAAGCAGCGCCACGGCTGCCGCCCGCCCCCATTTCCATACGGAGCCGCCTCTCCTCCAACGCCAGAGGCGGGCTCCAAAAGTTGGCCCCGGGGCCACCCAGCACCTGCCCACGTGCCGCGGAGCCTCTCTCCCGGGTCTCCCCGGTCCCCTTCCCCCCGCCGCCCGCGGCCGCCAGGTCACCTATTACCGGTGGGAGGGGAGACAGACTGCTATTTAAACGCCCGCGGAAGTTGAGGCACCCCCTCTGGCGGGTGCAGTGCACCTGCCTCCCGCCGCTGCGCTCCGCCACTTTGAGCAGCAGCCGCGTCGTCGGCCCCGCCTCCTGCCCGCAGGCGGGCGGGGGGGAGCGGGAAGGAGGTGGAAGGGATCGAATTTCTCCAGCAAATGGGACCGTTCCGACAGGATTCGGTTCCCCGGTCAACATTCCACATTCCATCTCTTTCCCGCATTTGCAAGCCAGGGCCAACAACCCGGAAAGCCTGCTGGCTGCCGAACAACAGCCCCCAACTCAAAAACACACACTCACTGGCACAGGACACGTGCACTGAAGGGCTTTGCAACTTGAAGTCCCGGGGTACACACAGCAGATTCATTGAAGGCATCGAAGAACAAGCGACCCCACCCCCACGATTTGCAGATGGTGCCAAAGGTTGCAATTGGCAATCCGTTTTAAGTTCACGGTTAATCGGTACTTTGCTCTAGCAATGCAACTCATTCCTAATTTCACCGATGAAGGGTTTTACACTTTACAGGCAGTCTCGCTGTAAGTAAAAGATCTGATCATTGGAAACCCAATTTGGAAAAAAATCTAATTGCTAAGCTGTCCCTCCACCCGCTGTTCATTGCCCTTGAATTGATGCAATGAATATTTTGGACATGTGGTGACACGGTGACAAGAGCTGGGGCTGCGGCCACCCTACACAATGTACCTATACACACACACCTATATTTAGACAAATATAGTCGTCCCCCTCCCTCTGCGGTCACACACACTCTGGATCCATATATGTATGCGAACCTGCGTTCTGCCATTGCCATCTGTCTACCAAGTTGATACTATGCTTTCCACTTTCATGCAGCCTAATGCACTTTGGGCCAACTAAACTCGGCTTCTGCTCCCGAACGCGTTTAATTGATGTTTCACCTGAAAACCACATGTTTTTTTCCGCAAATCCAAAAGAAGAAAAAGCTCTTAAGTCTTCAGCCCCCCAAAATTGAAAAATAATCGAAATAAAACTTACTGATCCAACATAAATCAATTCTCAGGCTCCAAAAATCATCCTCTCCTCCTCCTCCGGCCCCCACCCCAGCAATGGCCAAGTTACTGGTGGGATAGTAAGGCTGCGCTCGGCGGCTGCCTACCCTCCCTCCTCGCTACATATCGAGAACCCAATCTTTTGGCGCCATATTAATGACGTACTATATTATTTCCACTAGGCAGCGACCTTCGGCATTAAATTACTCCCGAGAACTCCCGAGCAAAGCAACAAAACCATCAAATATGGCTGAGCCTCTCGGCTCGTCCTGCAGCCGCCGCCACCACCGCCGCCGCGGATCGGGACGCGCACACGGACCCACGCACGGACACACGCGCGCGGCGCGTCCCCCGCCCCCCGGCCACCGTGGCCCGCGCGCGTACCTGCTGCGGAGGGGTTCGGCCGAGGCGCTGGGTTCGGCGCCGCATGAGTTCGGGCCGCGGCAGGCGGGCAGGCCGGGAGCCGGGCGGGCCCCTGCGTCCGCTGGCGCGCACACACCCGGCACTCGCGCAGGGAGGCACTCTCGGACGGGCGTTTGGCTTGTTATGGAGGAACGACTGTGTGAATCAAACTCATTTCTGGGTCACTGCTGCCACAGGGGGGAGCACTTTAATCCCCTGCCAAAACGAGAGGGTGGGGACAGGAGGGCGGAGGGAGCGCGCCCAGAGCCCACGGTGCAGGGGGCTCGGTCCCTCGTTAACTCTTCGCGGTCCTCGCTGCCGGCTCCGCCTGCAACCACAGGGGCGGGTAGTGCTCAGCTTTGAGAATCTCTTCCTTCATCTCCCTTGTGAGGCTGGAAAGTCTTGAGGTTTCTCCCTGGGGGGAAGGTGGGCTTTTACATTATCCCCTTCGAACCGTCCCAGTTCCAACTCTTGTATGACGTCACTGCACCCAGACATGGATTCTTTCAAATTAGTCTAAAATTGTGTAAATAAAAGTGTGGCTATTAGGGCGTATAATTTGGGTGAAAGGTTTTACGTTTAGACTGAATGTCAAAATAAATAGCTCTTCTGTAGTAGCAGGTTTAGGGAATTGCAAATTAGAACAACATTTTAAAAAGAGAACCCAATTTGGGAGCTGGAACACGTCTTTATCTAAATTAGTATCAAACTGATCATTGCAAATGAGCACTCATTCATTAGAAGACAGTGATTATTTATAAATTGACAACACCTTTCTGTTACACAGTTATCACACAGCTGGACAATGCCTTCCAAACATGAGAACTGAGTCCAATGCTAAAACCGGAGTTGCAGGCTAATACCACGACATCAGTCATCAGAGACTCAGTTGGGGGTATCTGTGTGCAAAAATGACTCATTACTGATTTTCCACAGAATACAAACTTGCTTTTTCGTGGGAAGGTTAACATTTTTTTCATGGACCCCACCAAAGAAATAAAAGTGCATGTGGTACTCAGCCTCAAAAAGGAAGACCTGGGAGAGACCTTGAGCAGATTACTGAAACTCTCGTTCAGTACACAGAAGCACTGATCACTAATTACAAAACGTAGCATAGAACCCAAAGGCATTGGGTGAGTTCTTCTGCACATACCAGGTTTGACTTCACACGGTCACACACCAATCCATCCCCCCACATTAAGAACATACAATCAGATAAACACAGCAAAACAAAACTAATTGAGCCTTTCCATTATTTTTTCAGAAAATAAAGTAACCCAAAGGAAATCTGAAGTAGCCAGGGACTGTTTCACTCACAAAGAGTACCAAGATACTACTACCACATTGGCCCTATTCATTTCGTATGCTCATTGAATCCTGTCCAAAGAGATCACAGAAGTAAAGCACTCTGCTACCATTATTACTATTATTAGCATTGCATTGCAGTTGTTATGTTCATTGGTTCACCTGACACATGCTCTGCTGAGGAGCGAAAGGCACAGGCTCACAGCCAGCCGGACCCCTGCCCTGGCCCTGGCCCTGGCCCTGGCCCTCCCGGTTATCAGCGCCTGTCCGTGGGGCAGATGACAGAACTCGGAGCCTCAGCTTCTTCATAAGTAATAAGATGAGGTTAACAGCCCCCCCGCCAAGGGTTATTACAAGGAATGAGATAACCCCATAAAAGTGCCCAGCAGGAGGTTATTGGTTCCCTCCCCCAACCCTCCTATATCTTTTTCTTGGTCTTCTCTCCATGGAAAATTGCAATTTCTGAATTCCAGCCAGACTTACAATACTTCACTGATGTCCCCTAAAAAAATTTTTTTTGAGCTACACTTCCCATTTTACTTGTTTTTTCTATCCCCACTCCCAAAACATCAGGCAACAAAGTCCAAGTAGTGAATAAATGAATGAGAACGAGGAAGAGGGACAGTGGCCAACGAACTTCCCACGCAGACACACTGGCCAGCAGCGAAGGTCCCCGGAACACCTTTCAGGGGCGCCCGTTCTGCAGAGCGGTGACGGTGCAGGCAGCGCCAGGTGCTGTCAATAACCGCGGACCAGAAGTCGGGGGACTCGCATCAACTCACACGAAGACCCTGGACAAATCTCTTTGGGCCTTGGTTTCCCCACTGAGACGACACACAAGATCAAATCTAACCCCTAATTTCTGATTGCTCTTCTAAAGCACACAATTACTTTAAGGAAGTAATTACTCGAAGAAATGGAGGACAACTTGAGTCGAGAAGGAACACGTTATTATTGTTGGTGATTAGCTGTTGACATCGGTGACATCTGTTAAATGACAGATATCTTTGGCCATCGGACCCCCGAGGAAACATTACACAGCCCATCTCTGAAATGGGGACAGCAGTGGCACGGCTGGCCTGGTGGCAGCACAGATAGCACATTCTAGAACAAGAAGTCCTGCGCTGAGCAGGAGTGAACTGAGCTTCCAGTTCCGCTCTGCCACTCACTGTCTCATCCACCAAAAATCACTGAGGGTCCCCGTGTCCTGGTCTCCCCATTGGTTCTGTGAGTTCACACTTTATTATCAGAGATGAAAGGGTACCCAAGAAAATAGCTACAAAGTAGTGACTGTAGCTGAAATAACAAGATTCTAGTCTTTTCTGATAGGCTCAGTGTTCTTGGCAATAATTGCAATTCTATATATCCCTTACATTTTGCTATAGTCATGCAGTTTAATTATTTTCTTTCATAATAATGGATTTTTATGGAATAAAACTTTGGATATTCATCTTTCTGACTGTGAAACCATACATAATTGCACCTATAAATGTTTACTTGGTCATTTCCTTTGTGTCTACCCTGCAGGTAAAGAATTATAAAGCCTTGACAAGAAATTCCAAACTGGTTATATTTGAAGTGAAGTAGATTCGTATGTTAGAGTACTATCTACCACATTCCTTTAGAGAAATGAGCAAGAAATCCTTACTGACAAATACCACCGCCAGTTGGTATATATTACGTCGCATGGAATTTTTTATTGTACAAGCACTCTTCTGGAAAAAAATGGGTTTTGTTCTAAAACTTTCCTTGTACTTTGATTGGAACTTTTAATTTATGCCCCAAAATAAACCTTGTTATAAAGAGGGCTTAGGTTGTCAAGTAATTAAAAAACAACAACAACAGTAACTTCAATAATTAAATGGCAGAAAAGAGTAACTTTTCATGAACTGTTTGGAATGACATCACAACCCCACTCTCATTGCCCTGGGTGGGAGGGGACCTACTTCCAGGATGGATACAGGGGCACACTTGGAACAAGAAAAGCTGGGAACCATGTTCGGCCCATGCCTGCCACCTGAGGAGAAGAAACAGAGAGTTGGGGTAAGAGATCAGGACCAGAGCTTCCTGTCCAACCAGTCGGTTGGGTCACGGGTCCTGACAGCCAGGCAGGTGGTGACAACATTCGGTAGGAATGACTGGGAGGCCAGTGACCGAGACACTTTTCTGTTGGTGCAGTCCCAACAGTACCAACTAAATTACTTTCTGCTTCAGGGGCTTCCTCCTTCCCTCCCCTTCTTTTGTCTGCTTTTGATTTTGGTTGGTTTAATTTTGCTGCTTTTCGGACTTTTAGCACAAGTGACGATATCAATGAGGAACAAGTCTGAGGGGGGACAGGAGAGTAGGTAATTCACTGCAACCAGATGGGCATGGCCAGCAGCTCTGACAGCTGAGGAGGTTCAAATAGGAAAAGGTGTTGCCGCATCTTGAAAAGAAAACGTGGTAATAGAGAGAACGTTGGAAACTTAGAAAGGTGAAAGAAGGTAATAAAACTCACCTATCGTAAACATTCAGATAAATGTTCAGTCCTCTTTCTAGGAATTTTAATAAGATTGGAATGATGTCACATGTTCCCTTCCTTTGCACTTACGTCTTTCATTATTTTCATTTCAGTATTCTACTTTTTGAGTTAAAAAAAAAAAAAATTTAACGTCCAGGCCTTTGGCTGCTTGCACACGGTACCTTCGCCTGCTGGCCCCTCAAACACGCACTCTCAGAGCTCCTTGCTGGACCTTGTCAACTCCTGGAAAGTTCCGCCATCTTTGATAGCAAATTGAAGTCTCTCGTTTCGTGACCTCTGAGACCCCCAAAGCCTATGCCTCTCCCATGACCCTTCCTTTGACCTGAACAGCACTCCCACCTAGCCCTTCAGTCTTCTCTTCTTACTAGACGCAGAGTGGGGGGGACTCCAAGTGGGACCTCCAGGAGCAGCACCGAGAGTCTGTAGGAGATGGACTGTTTGCAGCCCCACACCCAACCTCCCGGATCAGAACGGCACGGGGGGGAGGGGCGCACCACCTGTGTTTTAGCAAGCCCTCTAGGGAGTTCTGACCCATACTCACATTTGAGGACCCCTCAGGGAGACTGTGCTTCCGCCCACCACGCTGACGCACGGGGCCAGGCACCGGACAAGGTGGCAAGCACACCTACTCTCTGTCCACAGGCCAGTCGAAACATGAACAAGTGATTCCCGTAAAGCACGGGGTCTGGGGGAGTGAACACATGGGACCCCGCTCTCGTGTGTGCGCAGTGGCAGGAGGGTGGTCAGGGAACCCGTCTCAGAATGAGGGACCCTGACGGAACCCTGAAGGGTCATAGATGTTGGCCAGGCCGAGCCAGTGGGGGTGGGGGAACCACGTGTTGGTTTTTGGCTTTTGGTTTTGTTTTTTACAAAAACTCTGGCTGCTGTGTGCAGAATAGATTTGGGAGGGTGGGGGGTGACACGCAGGTAGGGAGGCTTCCGTGGTGACCAGGTGAGA